AAAAGGTATGGAGACAGAATACATCCCTGACGAACCCCCTTCTTGATTTTGAACCATGTAGTGTCTCCTTGCTCTATTCTGACAACTGCCTCTTGGTCCAAGTATAAGTTTCGCATTAGCACAATCAAATCTTCTGGGATTCCCATTCTTCTCAGAGTCAGCCACAGCTTATTATGATCCACACAGTCAAAAGCCTTTGCAAAAAAATTGCTGTTACTGATAGAAAATAATAAGGATTTTATAAATTCTATTTTTATTTTGTTATTACAATGAAATAAATTACACTTTTTAGTAATGCAAAAAAAATCTTATTCTCTTGTGCATTTTGAAAACATGGGTAAGAATCTAGTTACTTGTTCTCTTTTGTTGATACATGTAGAAAATGTTGAACAGGTATATGTTTTGCTCCATACATTCTCTATAATAAAATAAAAACCAAAGTATGCCTGTAAGATCTTGATTTCACCTGCTAAAATGGAGAACTGAGGATAGGATTTAATTGCTTATCAATAATTACAAGAACACAATATTACACTCTTTGAGGCTTAAATAAATATGGGGCGGGGGGAACCCAAACCAAAACCCAATACAATTCCAGTGGCTTAGAATTGTGGTGAATACATGTTCTAGAGTGTCCTGAAAGAAATTAAGTTTTATTATTTTCAAGTTAATCTACATAATAAAATTTTAATATAAACTCTATTTTCAAATGTCAGAGTTTATTAGTCAGATATGTTAGTCTAAAGTAATTCAACACCCGTGCTTTAAAGTGAAAACAAAAAAGCTACTGACTTGATGTTGAGCTCACAAAAAGTACAATGTTAGATTGCTGACTCTGGAAAAATCCTCCACACTAGTTTCCTTTCTACTTCATTTATCCATCCCCTTAGGAATATTCTCAATGTTTATTCTCACTTCATTGCATTCCATTGTTGTCCAATTCAATGCTAACCCTCTCGTGGGTTCTCAGAGGCTGTAAATTATATGGGAGGAAATTGCCCATCTTTGTGTCACTGAGTCACTGGTGGATTCAAATTACCTTTGGATTAGAAGTACAACTCTCTACAGACTATACCATGGAATTCCTTTTTGTTTTTGTTAGATACTCTTAAATCTACTACGACTCACAGTGGCACTACAAACAAAACATCAGAATGGAGCCCTATCCTGTACCACTCTCAATCTTTGCCATGCTCAAAACCTCAATCTTTGTCAAGCTCAAACCCACTATAGTCACTGCCATCATTCCATCAGGTTAAGGGTCTTCCTCTCTTTCGCTGACAATGTCTCTAAGCACTGGTTCTTCCAGAAAATATGTCAAAAGTAAGTGGGACAGGTTTTACCATCCCTGACTCAAAAGAAAATTTTGGTTGCACTTCCTTCAAAACTGATTTGTTTGTTCTTTTGGTACCTCATGGTATATTTAGTATTCTTCACCACTACTACAACCAAAATGTGGTCACCAAGAAAATGTCTTCAAGTTACTCCGTAAATTTGAGTTCTTCTTCTTATTAAGTAAAAACAGTAAAACAAGAGTCTAACTTTTTCTGTACAAGGAAAGAAAGAGGTTTATTAGAGGAAATATTTTGCAAAGGGAGCTCTGGTGGCCTTGTGATAAGAAGCTCCACTATAATCCCAAAGACACATGGCTCGAATCCACCAGCTGTTCAGAAGAGGAATGAGCAGTCTCCCATGGGATTTAAGCACACAAATTAAGGCATGAAGCATGGAGTAATAGGCTTGCACGCTTTCATGAAAACAGTTCTTATGACTGTAAGGGAAAATTTGATCCTTCAACTGTGAGGATGATGGCTAGAAAGGCCCCTTAGAAAAAGGGGTGGTGGTCTCTGTGTTCTAAGGTTTATCATTCAAAATATCTTTTCTAGCAGTGATTAACTGTTGATTTTGTGCTGAATTATCCTTAAAGAGAGGATTAAGGAGGGATGCAACCCCTACCCCACTAGAGGTTTAGATAAGCCCATGGGGCCTCAATGCTAGCTTACCTTTTGGAATGCCTGCCTTTAAATGAAGTCTACAATGCTCACCAGTCTCCACAAAACCGGCCTGCATACCTATAATCATGTGACTCTTTCCCCAAGTGGGTCTGAGTCTCTGGGAGATGACCCAGCAAACCACTGAACCCAAAGGACAGAGAGAAGCTAGGGAACTGAACAAAGGAAGGACTGTTGATGTCAGAAATCATGGAGTTGTAGATTTGGGACAACCACCTCTGAAAGCTCTCTGGAGTCAGCTACTGGTCAGTTCCAACTTGAAGATACACAAGTTTGCAAAAGAAGACACAGAGGAACAAGGCATTGCTAGAGCATGTTTTGTAATGGGGTGCTTTTATAGGTTTTGGAGGTGGGAAAAGATGATTATTCATGAAGAGGGTGGGGTCTGAGTTAACCTATTAAGAAAGACTTCCATGTTTATTCATGGAATAAATTAATGGAAAAATTCATGGAAAGAAGAGGGGTCACCTGGGATTGACTCATGTGAGAGGGATAAGGATAATTAAGTTAATGCACAGTTGTTCTTTCAAGATACAGCTGCCACCAGGGTCTTGTGGTGAGTATGCATAGATGATCAAAAAGGCCCATGATTCAGCAACGTGTGTACCCATGGCTTTAAAGATGGGTATTTCAAAGTGAGCAGGGAGGTCCTCACAGAGCATGCCCTTTCAGGGAGGCTGTTCTCTAGAAAGTCACACAGGAGTCACTTGTATGGCACCTGAAATGGCTTAGCAAATGGGAAGATTGTTAGGAGGGAACTCCTGAAGGTACTTAGGCTTTTAGGTTGTGTTCTTGGATCTTGAAATGCCTGCATAAGTTTTCTCAATTCAGGGAAAGGAGACAGGAAAATAAAGTCTATGAATCAGAGCAAATATACTAAATCTTAACCTAGTTAAGATCCAAAACTCTGAAAATTTTCATTTTCATTGCTTTAAAAAGCCATCCTTGAGTCAAGATTTAGAGGTCTTATTATTCTGTTCTAAGAGAAGGAGCTACTAGATTGCAAACTGGAGGAAAACTGCAAGTTAAAAGGTTTTTGATTTGATCAAAATGTTTCCTCAAAGCTGTCCCTCTAGACTAAAAGGCCACTTCTATTTAAAATAGTTTTAATTGCTTTTTTGCCTGTTGCAGCCCAAAGAGAACAAGGGAATATTACATTATTTAAAACCTGGAAAGGTATGTGTCAGAGTTTAACTCTTTCTCCATAACAATTTCAACCGGCATACCAAGCAAATTATTCAAGAAGCTAGACTCTATGAAGGAGAATGTGGCATCAGGATTGAAGGAAGACTCATCAACAACCTGTGTTATGAAGATGTTACAACCTTGCTTGCAAAACCTGAAGATTTGAAGCAGCACTTACTGAAGAAGATCAGTTGCTTCATATGCTTCTAAAAGTTGGACAAAGAACAGATGCCTTTATTTGTAGTGTTAGAAAGAGTACTGAATATTTCATGGACTACCAAAACAACAAACAAATCTGTCTCAAGAAGTGCAACCAGGGTGTTCTTTAGAAAGGTGACCCTTCATCTCACACATGTTGGGCCTGTTGTCAAGAGGGCCAGTCCTTGGCAAAGACATGATTCTGGGAAAGGAAGAGGTTCATCAAAATAAAGGAAGACCCTTAAGGGGATGGAGTGACATCCTGACTAACAATGATCTTGAGCATGTGGAAAATAGTAAGGATGATGACAATGTTAAAGATACAGGAAGGTTCTAGACCTGTTATTCACGGGGCCACTAGGAGTCTCAGTCAACTAATAGGCACCTAGCACAGAACTAGGAAAATTCCTTTACATTCACATACAGTTTTAAAATCTGACATAGAAGCAGCCTCACTGCTGGACAAGAGTACTTAAACCAGGGCCTGCTTCATTTACATCATAGCCTCACACTTTCCTGGACAAAGGAAAAGCAATTCTTTTCTGTCTCTCACTCACCTGCTGAACTAACAAAAGAATATCCCTGAAGTGGCATCTTATATTTTACCTTCATTTTGTGTTTGCAAACATCTTGTGCAAACAGCTAGTGATTAAGACTAGTTTACCACTCGTACCAGCAAAAACCCGTAAGCAAGGTGTGTGAACACTCTCATTCAGCAGGTTAATGGGAAACAAAACTTTGTTTAAACTTGTATAAATTTTTTTAAAAAAGTATTCTTTTTGAGTCTGGGAAAGAAGTATGGTGATTGCCAGCCTCAGATTATCATTTCCTAATTTTGGTGGTTGTTATATGCCATCGAGTTGTCTGCAACTCATAGCCACACTATGCACAATACCCCTAAACTATGCTCTATCCTGAGCCAGTCTCTGTCTCTGACACATCTAATCCATTACCCCAGTTACTGTGTCAATCATCTCATACTTGTTCTTCCTCTTCTGCACTGTCCCTCCAGACTTCCAAGCACAGTGTCTTTCCCCAGGGACTAGTCACTCCTGTCCATGTGCCCAAAGTATGTGAGACTGAGCTTCAAAATCCTTGCTTTCAGGGAGCAGCTTGATTTCACTCTCTCTAGGATAAGACTGTTTGTTCTCTTGACAGTCCATGAAATACTTTTTTCCAGCACAACTCAAAGGCATCAATTCTTCCTCTGTCATCTTTGGTCATTGTCCAGCTCTGTAATTATGATGACCATGGCCTGGATCAGGCACACCTTAGTTTCTAGATTGACCTCTTTGCACTTCAGCACTCTGGAGAGTTATTTGCTATGCATGTGAGATCTGGTAAATTTCTAAGAAAGACAGAAGAAAAATTGATGCCTTTGAATTATGTTTGGAGAAGAGTATTAACTATCTCATGGACTGCCAAAAGAAGAGATATGTCCTAGAGAAGATGCAGCCAGAATCTTGGAGGTAAAAATTATGAAGCTTTGTCTCACATCATTTGGGCGTGTTGTTATTAGAAGTTATTCTTTGGAGAGGGGCATTATGCTTGGAAAGGTTGAGGGTCATCAAAAGAGAGGAAGACCCTCAACCACATGGAATGACATAGTCACTTTAGCAATGGGCTTCAGTGTGTCAGAGATTGTGAGGATGGCACAGGATAGGATAGGGTTCCGATCTGTTTTTCCTAGGCTAAGAGTCATATTCAACTTGAGAGCACCTAACAACAACAACAAGTCTAAAATATGTGAGAAGAAACTTCACTATCCTTGTCTCTAAGAAGCACTCTGACTGCACTTTGTCTAAGACATAGCTGTTTGTTCTTTAGGCATAAGTTAAATGAATATTCATGGAATATTCAGTACTCCAACATCACAAATCAAAGACATCTTCTGTCACTTTTATTTATTGTCTAGCTCTCAGTTGCACAGCAGGTGACTGCAAAGCCCTTGACTTGAATCAGACACACCTTAGTTTTTAAACTGACATCATTGTTCCACAGGTCCCTGATAGCAGACTTTCCCCAATGCAATCCTGATCTTCTGACTCTTAGTAACAGGGGTATTAAATGTGAATCCAAGTAAGACTAAATCACTGACAACTTTAATCTTTTTCCATCTCTCATGATGTTCCCCAGTGGTCTAGTAGTGAGGGGTTTTGTCTTTTAGATGCTGAGATGCAATCCATTGAAGTCCTTGATCTTCTACAGCAGGCTCTTCAGGTCTTCCTAGCTTGAAGCAAGCAAAATTGTGTCATCTGCATGAGGCAGGATAGTTGATGAGCCTTCCTCCAATCCTGATGCCACATTCTTCATAAAGTACAGCTTCTTGAATGATTTGCTCAGCATGTATACTGAGCACCTTTTCTCCTTACCAATTGTTCCATGGGATCTATAGGCTTTGAAAACCTATTGGACAGTAAGCTATGAGTTAGTCCAGACTCAAGGGCAATCAGCAACAACATGATTCTGTAAAGACCCCATTTGCAAATGTAAAAAGAACAAAGACCATGAGGCAATGGTCATATTTCACCTTTACCAACTTCACAAAGGGGAACCATTCCTGTCAACATCACCAACAACAAAAATCAATTCCCATAAGGTCAGGCATATCCCCCACACTCCTGCACCTCTTTCTACTCATCCCAACACCACTATCATTGCTTTACTGGGTCCAAAATTCAATGCAATAGCTCAAAGACCACACAGAACCACAATGGGGAAGTGAAAAGATTATCATCCAGATTAGTAGCAGAATACACCAGGATAACTTCAGAAATATTGCCGCCATGCACCTCAGCTTTTAGCCTTGTGGTCATAGGTCAGTATTACAAAGCTCTCAGTCCTGTGAATTATGGCTTCTTACTCCCCCAGTCCTCTCAACAAACTTGAGCCAAAGGCATTTAGCTCTGATACAGTGGTGTAGCAGTGCCAAGGTCTCTTCTGACTCATGTCAGGTTCTCTGCTGTGGCTGCTGTTCCTGTAGGCCCTGGTCAGCCTGGTACAAGAGTCGCTGGCCCCAAAGGACATGCTGATTCTCTTGCGTCTTCTTTGCTGGTGGAATGTGGCTGTCCCTTTGTATCTGAAGCAGAGTGATCTGGTCTCAGCAGCAGCAAAGCAGATCATAGAAGAGACCTCCAAAATGGAGTTAATGTACAGTGGTGTGGAAAATAAGTAGGTGGTGATTATACATCACATGAGGCTGCAGGCCAAAGCCTTGCAACTGATAGTAATAGCACGAATTCCTCGATGAGTTGAGCCCCTATTTGGAATGTGTGAAAAATTTTTACAGGAAGTGGACTTTTTTCAAAGGTGTTTCATCGCTGACTTGCCCCACCTAGAGGAGAGCTTTATGGACAAACATCTTGACCTCATGCCTCGACTAATGACGTCAAAACCTGCAGAAGTGGTCAAAATTCTACAAACCATGCTGCAACAGAGTACCTTCCTGCATCTCCCTCTGCCCGAGTAGATCCGCAAAACTTCAGCCATAATCATCAAACCAGCAAGCAAGTCAGATTAACCCTTTGCGATTTACATTTGGACTGGTAGTAGCTCTCAATGTTGATGCAACCCTGGAGCATGTGCAGGAATCTCAGAGCACTGTGAAAGTCCAGGTCTTATATCCAGATGGCCAGGCTCAGATGATCCACCCTAAGCCAGCACACTTGCAGACTT